GATTTGATAGTTCGTTTGTTTTCATTTATTTATTTGAGAATTCGTAGTTGATAATTAAAAACCAACAATTTGAGTTAGAGTGTTAGATTTTGTTCCTTTCTTTTTGTGTGTTTGAATAGTCGTGCAGTTTATTCCGGCTAACCTTCCTTGAGTACGACCCGGTGTTGAATCTTTCGATTCTACTCCGGTTAAAAATATTTACAACAGGTACATTCCCAAGGTATCTCATTCTCTCATTGTCTACTCATTTCATACTACTTTCTCTCTCTCTTGATCTGAGCACTGACTTAGGCATCGGAGGCCCGACGCTGGGGCCACCCCCGGCGTTGGGTTCTGCAGGTACGGAGGCCGTTCGAGTTGAAGGAGCCCGGGTGAAATCCGTTTCACTCGTATCATATAGGTTGTTCAATACATTTTTCATAACATATTTGTGGATCTGATTATAATTTTTAATTTCTATTTCTTATAGGAACTATGATGATATTTCTGATTTGCATGAAGAATTGTTGCTCGCTTGACAATAATGTTAGATGAGCATATTGAACTGGTTAAGTCGTTTCGTATGGCTAGGGAAAGAATTCAACAACACGGCCAAAGTGATATTAAGATTCGTCTAATTGAACGGAGATACAGTGATGGTAGATGTTATAACTTGCCTACAAGTTTTGAAGTTTCTGCTTTGGTCGTTGGAGATTTTGATCAAGCAATAGGTGAAAGGAATATATTGGTTGTAACCAAAAGTGGATGCTAATACGAGTGAAACGGATTTCACCCAGGCTCCTTCAACTCGAACGGCCTCCATACCTGCAGAACCCAACGCCAGGGGTGGCCCCGGCGTCGGGCCTCCGATGCCTAAGTCGGTGCTCAGATCAAGAGAGAGAGAGAGTAGTATGAAATGAGTAGAGAATGAGAGAATGAGATACCTTGGCCCACTTTTATAGGATTAGTGTACCTTTTGGGCCCAAGTTGGGCTTGAACCATATCGTTATGCTTAGATGTCTTAGTAGACTTATCCTCCAATATGTTTTCGCTTTATCCATTAACCCGGTCTAGTATAAGGGTCAAAATCTTTTTCACCCCATTATAAATCTATTCTTTCTTTTACACACCGCCCCATCAAGTAACTTCTTTTACACCCCAAAACTCACGAAATGCTATGCGATATTACACTCGCATGTCCAAATGAACCAGCGCATATCCAATCGGCCGCATAATTTATGACAATGCGTAAACATTTCGCATTTTTTTAATCGCATATCCAAATCAAACGCATAATTTAGAAATGTGCGAACATCTTTTGCATTTTTAATAATCGCATATACAAATCGATTGCAGCATAATTGTACGATGATTATGCGCCTTCTTATCGCAGGGCTATATCAACCTTGCAAATTTATGACTGCGAAAATATTTCGCATCTAATTCGCATAGTTTGTTGAATACGTATTTTCTGGTAATTGCATATCCAAGTCAATCGCATAATTTACTAATACGCGAAACAATTTCGCATATATCCTCTGGATAATTGACAATTATGTGACATTTTTTCGCTCGCATATTTAAGAATCGCATAACCAAATCGAATAAAGCATATTTTTTTGACGATTATGCGCCATTTTTTCGCAGGGCCATATCGACCTGGCAATTTTACGACTATTCGGAATTCGTTCGCAGATCTTTCGCATAAGTTGCGCACCTCATTAATTGACTGCTTTTTCACAGGTGAGGATTTGGTCTCTGCATTTATCATGCAGGCAAAAAAACAGCGATCTCTAACAATTTAACGTCTGCACCATTCATCTACTGCATTTTCCTGTTTCTTTTTTTTTTTAGTTCTTTTTGTTGTTCACTTATTTGAATGGCTAGCAACCGTGTTAGAGTATTGGTGCACTCTGGTGGTTCATTTTGCGAGGGTTCATATCTTGGTGGAGTGGCAGAGCTGATGAGAATAAATTACGGCCGACAAATGTATTCTGAAGTAGTTTCTCGTGTTCAAACCTTATTGAAGGCCAATCCTTGTAATTTTGAGTACATATTGTGGGCAGTATTTGATGGAAGGGAACGAGTTGTGAAGATGAAAATCGAATCCAGTGAGGATATCTTAGAGCTGATTGAAGAACAAAGAAATCCCAACATTTACGTGGAGTTGGAGAAGCGAGTAAATGTAGGGATTCCAGGGACGACGCAACAAAGCTTCACGCAAATGATGGCGTCCCAAGGTGTATTCCCGAGTTCTTTTGGTGTTGGTAATTCTGCATTTTCCCACGAGGCCCCATATTCACATCAAGCAGGCCCTAGTTCATTTACATATACTGGATGTCCCGAACCAACCAGTTCATTCTCGTGACGATGACAATAATGATGACCAAACCAACACACACAATGGTGACTCAGGCGACGAAGACAAAGAGGTAAATGAGAAGCAAATGTTCGTAATCCAGGTACAATTGTCGAAATCAGAATTGGGTTGACCTGCAAACATCACACATGTCCCATAATAATCACACAATTGAGTTGATTGCGCGTTTCGCATAACATGTCGCATAATAATCGCACAATTAGGTTGATTGTACGATTCGCATAACATGTAACATAATAATCGCACAATTAAGTTCATTGTGCGATTCGCATAACATGTCCTATAATAATCACACAATTGGGTTGATTGTGCAATTCCCATATCATATCCCATAATAATCGCACAACTGAAATGATTCGCCTAGTCTTCAACCGCATAATTAACGAATCGTATATCCAAATCGAAAGTCGCATAATTTACGACTATCGACCATTTTTTTGCATATCCATATGGACCGCATTGATTGATTGTCTGCACCGCATATCAAAATCGAAAGTGCTTCGCATATTATTTGCATACGTTACGCACCGCATTGATTGATTGTCTGCACCGCATATCCAAATCGAAAGTGCTTCGCATATTATTCGCATACGTTACGCACCGCCTTAATTGATTGTCTGCACCGCATATCCAAATCGAAAATGCTTCACATATTGTTCGCATAAGTTACGCACCGCATTGATTGATTGTCTGCTTTTACCCCTAAAAGACAATGACGATTTGCATGCTTCCTCATTTAGTTGTTGAGTTGATGTATATGTACCTAGCCATAAATGCTGAATTTATTCATTAACCTTTCATTCTCTTTGTTGAAGAGGCGACCTTTCACTTCTCAAAACCCTATCTTTCCATCGCAGCCAAAAA